TTTAGCCCAGTGCCTCAGTAATGTTGGCATCCGCTCGCGCTGCCTGGCATTCGCCCAATGTTTGCCTGCCTTTGAGCATTGCCCGCTCCCCCTCCCGCGAGAAATGGGTCAGCGAAAAGACAGCAGCGCATAATTTAATTGCCAACACCATTTTGCAATGGCAACTGCAAGCGGCACCATATTTCTAATTACAGAATTCAACTTTGGGCGAATTCCTGATAACAGGGTCCGCCGTCCCCTTCCCACACCGACAGCAGCCCCATCGCCATTTGTAGCTGCTATCGTAAATCATATAAGCCAACTTAAAAATAGGCGCCGCCTGACATTTGAGTGCGTTTGTCAGTCAACGGCTCTGGCGTTCGCTTAATTGCCGCACATCTGTTTTTGGACTGCTGCAGCAGCATCCCCTGCCACCCCCGCCCTATACACTCATTATGTGAGTGGGTGTGGGCACCCCTGCCATCCCTGCCGCCCGCTCCAAATGAATTTATGACAACTAAGCATAAATAATTCAATTCGTGCGTGTTTACAACATTTATTAAATGAAGTGTTGAAGTGGGTGAGAATTACACCCACACACACAATCGCTCATACTCACGCACACACACACACACATCTCCTAAAACGGTTTTCAAGGGGCTGCCACTAAAAATATCTTGCTGTTTGCGGCTTCAACAACAACAACAAAAATCACGAAGTAACCGAAAAAAAATAGCTAAAGTCGCATTTGTATCTGGGACTCTCGCTCTCGCTGCTCGAACTGGCAGCCTTGCCTTGCCTTGCCTTGCTTTGCCTTGCCTGCTCTATCTCCATCTATCCATCAAATGAGTCATAAGTGCTACGACTTCCGCCTAGGTCTAGGGTTCAAAAAACTTCAAATTCAAATAAAAATAAAAAATAAGGCACAGCTTCACGTCGCAGATTATTGTATCTGTTGCTGGAAGCTGAGCTAAGGTTGTTGCCATCATCAACTATTATTCAACTATTTCAAACTGTTTCTCTCTGCCTCTCTCTCTCTCTCTCTCTCTCTCTCTCTCTCTCTCTCTCTCTCTTACACACATACACACACACACCTCTCTCCTTTTTTGTGACCTTTGATTGGTTTTTTTCTTCTTTCTATGTTGGCTGTTGTACACAGCTTTACAAAATCTTTTGTTGTTACTTAACTGTTCCTGTCATTTAAGCAGTTATCGATTGAGTTTTCAATTAGTTATAAATACTGTTGCTTAATTATTTATAGATGTTTACTCATTTTTGATTTAAAATTTATCGCCATTTCAACATGAATATTCACAGCTTGATTAAGATGCCTAGCTTCACTTTCATGTCTGTCTTAAGTATGACTTCATACGAAGCACATTCTTTAAGCTATAATTGATTTTAGAACTTATAAATATATTATTTAATTAACTATACCCTAGACAC